CTTCTGGACGCCTGATTAATTATTACTCATCGCAACCAACAAAATATAAAATAAATACAGCAAAAAACCTCATCGNAAATATAAGATAAATACAGCAAAAAACCTCATCCATAAAATATTGACAATAAGCCACACACGATTCCACGAAGCTAACAAAGAGAAAATCAACAAAATCCTAATAAACAACAATTACCCTGTAAACTTAATACGGGAATTAATAAATCAACAAGTTATGAAAACAAGCATCCATCCCAATAAAACACCGAACACAGACACAACAAAAACTACTAAGAAATTTTACAGTGTAACATACATTCCTAACTTAACTGGCAATTTTGTNAAGATTTACACCCAAAAATTTTTCTCGACATAAGTAGATACTCAAATAAAACTGACACACGCTAAACTTTTTTTCGTGATATGCCTTAATGAACATATAAGGTCAACCGCACTATGCTATGCAGTGGCGTGTTGTGTATTTCCTCCTTCTGCTGCAGCGTAGTGCATATTTTTAGGCACAGTGCTATAAAAAGGGAACGCATGCAGAAGGTTGCAAATTCGCAGGGCGCACATGATGATATATTGTTTTTCGTCTTTCGAAAAATTCTTTTTGATGATGCATTTCCGGACGTTCTTTTTTGCCATTATACGAAAAATATTTTTTAATGATTTTTTTCCGAATGTTTACTTAGCAGTTTGCTTTTACCCACATTTTATACTTTACGTTTTTCAAATTAATTGGAGTTTTGTGCATCGATTTAGGGGAAAAATTAACTTTGAATTTCAATAACCCTTTCTGCGCTTAAAAATCAAAAACAACGATGATGACAAACACATAAACTTTCGAAGTGGTCCTCAAGCAACGGCGGGGTCAAATGGAATGGAATTTTTCAATTGGAGTTCTTCGAAATTTGCTGCTAGGATATGTGTTACAGCTTAGTAAAGTTTTGGTTTACTCCTACCGAAACCAAAGATTAGATGGTTTCGATATTCGATAATCCCAAACATCGATAGTATCGATACTATCGAAAATATCGACAGTATCGATAGTATTATCGATAGTTTTGATTAAAAAAGTCCAAAAATTAAACATAACAACTTTTACTGAAAATGAGATCAGAATTGCTCTAATATGTCGATATTTTTGTTAAGGAACAAAAGTTTATCAACGATTTTTGGCTTAAAGCAGCATATTTCTGTATGTATGTATGTATGTATGAGTGAAGACTATCGATAGTGCTTAAAAATCCATCGATGTTTTCGATAGTCAAGAACCATCGGTACTATCGATGGTGCCATCGATAGTTTTCCAGCTTTACCAAAGATATATACACGTCAAAAATTTAAAATAATGGGAGGCTATTTACCGACAATATAGTTTTTTGCAAAGGTGCGAAATGTGAAAATGCAGAATTTTATCAACAACAAACAGTCGAATTTCGCATGAGTCATTGCATTTGCTTGTGGTTGGTCTGATGTGAGATTTTCGGCTGTGGTGTTTTAAGAAAATTACGCAATTTCACACTGGTGCAATGCATTTCGAATGAACGCCTTAATATCCCTAATATGTACTTAAAATGCTTATTTAACGCTTATTCCAGAAAACTTATATTAATTTGATCTTAAAAACACAGAAATGGTTGTTGGATATTGATATCCAAAGCAATTTTATATCTATTTATCATTCATGACTTAATTTTTAATTGTTTATATTAACCTAAAAATCAAATTTTTCAGGTCGGATAGGAACTGTTGTTGGATGGGGCCGTACTTCAGAAGGAGGGGACCTGCCTTCAATCGTAAATCAAGTTAAAGTGCCTATTATGTCTATTTCCGAATGCCGGAATCAAAAATATAAAAGCAGTCGAATCACAGCTAGTATGTTATGTGCTGGTAGACCGAGTATGGACTCATGTCAAGGTGACAGCGGTGGTCCACTTTTACTTTCAAATGGAATTAAGTATTTTATTGTTGGTGTAGTTTCGTGGGGTGTCGGATGTGGAAGGGATGGATACCCAGGAGTTTACACACGAGTAAGCAAATTTGTACCATGGATAAAATCTAATTTACGTGATAGTTGTTTGTGCTCTTAAATTCATTTAAAAATTTTAAGGAATATACTATATTATAATTAATCAATATTTGCTGTAAAAAACTATTTCTTGTAAAAATAAATAAAAAATAAATTTTAAAGTATGTACGTAGATACAAAAATACATATGTACAACACTCATATACATATGTATATATGTATAAACATTGTACATTGTACATATGTATGTGTGAATTAACATATTAACATACTTTTAGCAGTAATAGGCATAATAAGCTTTTACCATGTGCGCAAAGGTTTACAATTTTTAGACCTTAGATATTATTTTTAAAAGCCTGGAGTGTCAAAAACTCCGGGAAAGCATGCTTATGTTGCGGTGACAAAACAACCTCACGACTATAAGGGCATTCAGAAAACAGGAACGACAAATTTGATGTGTTTGTTATTATTACTGTGGCGTTATGATATTTATTCGAATAAGGTTTTTAAACTTTATACCACCAAAGTTTTTTAGGAAAAATGGAAAAAGCAAACAAAGTCTAAGCGGCAGAAGTTATATATTATTTTTCGGAGATAACCAAATCTCCTCATCAGACTTCTTTCTCTAGACTTCAACATCGCATAATCGATGTGGAGAGCCAGGAACGTTAACCGCTGAGGTAAGCCGTTTTCTCGACTGTCAAATTTAACTTCTTTTTTAACACATAGACTGCTTTAACGCCCGCATGTTANTACTTTTAGCAGTAATAGGCATAATAAGCTTTTACCATGTGCGCAAAGGTTTACAATTTTTAGACCTTAGATATTATTTTTAAAAACCTGGAGTGTCAAAAACTCCGGGAAAGCACGCTTATGTTGCGGTGACAAAACAACCTCACGAGTATAAGGGCATTCAGAAAACAGGAACGACAAATTTGATGTGTTTGTTATTATTACTGTGGCGTTATGATATTTATTCGAATAAGGTTTTTAAACTTTATACCACCAAAGTTTTTTAGGAAAAATGGAAAAAGCAAACAAAGTCTAAGCGGCAGAAGTTATATATTATTTTTCGGAGATAACCAAATCTCCTCATCAGACTTCTTTCTCTAGACTTCAACATCGCATAATCGATGTGGAGAGCCAGGAACGTTAACCGCTGAGGTAAGCGATATGTAATAATTCTAGGGCCGTTTTCTCGACTGTCAAATTTAACTTCTTTTTTAACACATAGACTGCTTTAACGCCCGCATGTTTTATGTATATGATCGATAGCGCAGTCCATCTGCTGATAGTGAAGTGACCTACGCTTAGCGCATATGGCTCATATTGCCGTGTCAGCGTATTCTTCGTGTATGCTAGGGATGCATAGCAGAGGTGCACGCAGTCGACGTCGCGGGAAGTGCGAACTCGCGAAAGGGCTAGGCGAGAAAAATTAGTTGTATATATTACTACACTACACACTTATTTTCGATTAAAAAAGCCTGCAAAAAGTGGGACTAGGTAAAATACTACTACAGGACCAAGTTACTAGTATGCAACCAGGTCATTTTGCACATACTTTAAAACTACGACCCAATGAACCACCTCAAATTTTTGCAGGGCAGAGAAACCCCATTTTTCCAAAACAAAAACGCCAAGTTTTTATTCTCGTCTAATATTTTTTTGATTCAGTAAAAATACGAAAGAATTTAAACTCGTTTTTATTAATAAACTATTTTAAATAAATTTATAACAACCATATTTAATGTACCTATTCCTAACATTTATTCAGCAAATGAATTCCATCTTTATGTAGGATAATATTGTATAATGTATGCATGCATATGTACTTATGCAGTCGGTGTGGATAAATTAAAAAAAGGATCACTAAATAATGCACCAACATTTAATTCCAATTATTTTGGCTTTTTGATTTCACAAAGCACTAAATTTAGTGCAAAATGCCCGACGTTGGCAACAGTGAGCTAAGCACATCCAGGCTTACACAATGATGCCAGGCCAAGTATTAAGTAAATGCACTATGCATATTTTTCTTTTAAAGCAAAAGTTCTAATTGGCGAAAAGATCGATTTTTGGTTGCTACATAGAACACTGACAGGATTCACAAACTTATCATAGGACTTAATTAATATAATCACGATTCTTTGTACACGAATATATTTGCGTTCCTATGAACAGTAGCTTATGTCGGGAGGCTGGCTTTAGTTTAATGTACCATTCCTTATATACTTTAAACTACAAGGCATTTTTTCTTCTTCTTTTTTGGCGCTGTAACCGCCCAAGCGGTTTTGGCCGAGTTCAGCAAAGCACGCCAGTTGTTTCTCGTCTGTGCCAACTGACGCCAATTGGAAACGCCAAGTGAAGCCAAGTCCTTCTCCACCTGATCTTTCCATCGCAGTGGGGGCCTCCCTCTTCCTCTGCTACCACCAGCGGGTTCCGAGTTGAATACTTTCAGAGCTGGAGCGTCGGTGTCCATTCGAACGACATGACCAAGCCAGCGGAGCCGCTGTATTTTAATTCGCTGCACTATGTCCATATCGTTGTAAAGCTCATACAGCTCATCGTTCCATCGTCTGCGGTACTCGCCGTCGCCAACGCGTAAAGGACCGTAAATCTTCCGCAAAATCTTTCTCTCAAACACCCCAAGAGCCGCCTCATCGGATGTTGTCATTGTCCATGCTTCTGCGCCATATACCAGCACGGGCATGATGAGTGACTTATAGAGCGTGGTTTTCGTACGTCGAGAGAGGACTTTACTCCTGAATTGCCTACTCAGTCCAAAGTAGCACTTGTTGGCAAGAGTGATTCTGCGTTGGATTTAAATGCTGACATTATTATTGGTGTTAATGCTGGTTTCCAAGTAAACGATATTCTCTACTTTCTCGAAATTGTAACTGGGTGCCAAGGCGCGAATGTGCTGACTGTTTGATTGATGACAGGAGATATTTCGTCTTGTCCACGTTTACCAACATACCCATTGGCTTTGCTTCCCTATCCAACTTGGAAAAGGCAGAACAGACTTCGATGTTTTTGTTGCCGATGAAGTCGATGTCATCGGCATAAGCCAGCAATTGCACGCTCTTGTAGTAAATTGTTCCTGAGCGGTTCAGTTCTGCAGCTCTTATTATCTTCTCCAACATCAGATTAAAGAAGTCACATGAAAGGGAGTCGCCCTGTCTGAAACCCCGTTTTGTGGCGAACGGCTCGGAGAGGTCTTTTCCAATTCTGACGGAGCTGGTGGTATTGCTCAACGTCATTTTACACAGCCGTATGAGTTTTGAGGGGATGCCAAATTCAGACATAGCGGCGTATAGGCAACTCCTTTTAGTGCTGTCAAAAGCGGCTTTAAAGTCGACAAATAGGTGGTGAGTGTCGATCCTTTTCTCACGGGTCTTCTCCAAGATTTGACGTATTGTGAATACCCGGTCTATGGTGGATTTGCCAGGTCTAAAGCCACACTGATAAGGCCCAATCAGTTCATTGACGGTGGGCTTCAGTCTTTCACACAATACGCTCGATAAGACCTTGTAACCTATGCTTAGAAGGCTGATCCCGCGGTAGTTGGCGCGAATGGCGGGGTCACCTTTCTTGTGGATTGGGCAGAGCACACTTAAATTCCAGTCGTCGGGCATGCGTTCATCTGACCATATTCTGCACAAGAGTTGATGCATGCACCTTATCAACTCCTCGCCGCCGTACTTGAATAGCTCAGCTGGCAGGCTGTCAGCTCCAGCGGCTTTGTTGTTTTTCAGCCGCGTTATTGCTATACGTACCTCGTCATAGTCAGGCGGTGGAACGTCGACTCCGTCATCATCGACTGCGGGCTCGGGTTCTTCTTCTCCACAACTTTCCGTGCTGCTACCATTTAGTAGGGCGGAAAAGTGTTCCCTCCATAATTTAAGTACGCTCTGGACATCAGTTACTAGGTCGCCATTATTGTTCTTACAGGAGTGCGCCCCGGTCTTTAAACCTTCCGTAAGTCGCCTAACTCTCTGGTAAAATTTTCGGGCATTCCTCCTGTCGGCCAGCATTTCAAGCTCTTCGCACTCACGTATTTCTGCCTCTCTCTTCTTGTTGCGGCAAATACGTCTCGCTTCCCTCTTCAGATCCCTATAGCGGTCCCACATAGCGCGCGTTGCGCCCGATCGCAGCGTGACCCTGTAGGCGGCATCTTTTTTTCTCTGCAGATTCCTGACAATCCTCATCGTACCAGTTGTTCCTTCGGGCTCGCTGAAATCTGACTACTTATTCGGCGGCGGTACTTAATGAGCGGGAAATGTGGTTCCACTGCTCGCATATGTCGGTTTGTTGAAGAGTGCTCTCTGAGAGCAGGTGTGAGAGTCGAGTAGCGAAAGCGCTGGCTGTCTGTTGTGATTGCAGCTTTTCGACGTTAAGCTTTCCTTGCATATTTGGGCGCACATTTTTTGCTGCACAGAGGCGGGTGCATATCTTGGCTTCAACGAGATAATGGTCCCAGTCGATGTTTGGGCCTCGGAGTGTGCGTACGTCTATAAAACTGAAAGCGTGCCTTCCGTCTATCACAACATGATCGATTTGGTTTCTCGTTTTTCGATCCGGAGACAGCCAGGTAGCTTGATGGATCTTTTTATGCTTGAACCTAGTACTGCATACTACCATGTTTCGGGCCCCGGCGAAGTCGATCAGCCTCAATCCGTTGTCGGACGTTTCGTCGTGGAGGCTGAATTTTCCGACGGTGGTTCCAAAGATCCCTTCCTTGCCCACCCTGGCATTGAAGTCGCCAAGCACGATTTTGATATCATGATGGGGGCAGCGCTCGTATGTGCGTTCCAAGCGCTCATAGAAGAGATCCTTGGATGCCTCATCCTTCTCTTCCGTCGGCGTATGGGCGCAGATGAGCGAGATGTTGAAGTATCTCGCTTTGATGCGGATTGTGACTAGACGCGCGTCCACCGGGGTGAACGACAGTATTCGGCGACGAAGTCTCTCTCCAGCCACAAATCCAACTCCGAATTTGCGCTCCTCTACATGGCAGCTGTAGTAGATGTCTCAAGGTCCCAGACGTTGCTTGCCTTGCCCCGTTCAACGCATTTCTTGGATGGCGGTGATGTCAGCTTTTGTCCTTACGAGGACATCAACCAGCCGGCAGAGGCACATTCCCCATTAAGGGTCCGGATATTCCAGGTGCATGCCCCTAAATCCTAGTCCTTTAAACGTTTGCCGAGGTCGTCATCATAAGGGGAGGTCTCATCCGAGGCTTTGCCTTGCTTCTTCACTGGAAGTGGTTTTTACGTGGCGGGTCCCAAGCCCAGCGTACTACCCATTTCTGGGACAGGGGTGGTTTCGCAACCAAATACACGTTTATATAGCGAGCCGCTTTCTCCAAGCAGACACCCGCTTGCAGCCGCACCTACTGGTGAACACTCGCTGCAGACTTCAGTAAGCCCTTAAACCAAATAAGTCGGAGTGGCCCCACCGAAGCTCCCTCTCTTTCTGCCGTGACCCAAGGCTCCACTCGGATTGGTTACCGCATCTCGCACATGGGTTGCTCACATTGGCCAGAGTGCGCGAACGAGGACGCAAGAGTCGGGATTGAGTATAGCCATGCAATTGTTACTGCATACCCAGCGCAACGACTATACCCCATTGCACTCCAAGGAATTTTTTAACGAGACTTAATAACAATATTGACTTTCTAGCATCGAAACTGCTTCTTTCTCGTTTATTTGCCAACAGTTCTTCAATAGCTGTGCACCAGTGAGTCATTCGCAATCGAATGCTGCGAATGGTTCATTATACTAAAGCCATCCTTCCGACATAAGCTCCTATTCTGTACGTACACAGATATGTATACTTTCCAATAGGCTTGCAAAATGCCCAATACCTAAATCCCTCATATGAGTTATTATCGGTAAAAGTTTGGGTACGCTCACTTCTGGCATCACTGCACAAATACCTTGTACATACAGCATTTCCATTAAGACGATTTTATCGTCATTTTGACGATTTTTCGGTCAAATGACGATTTGACGGGTTTCTCCTCAAAATGACGATTTTTTTCAAAGCTTAATTATAACTAAATCTAAATACATATCGTCGTTTAAAGTACAAAACCGCGTATCAAAAAAATGCAAAACAGCGTATCAAGATAATGCAAAACCGTGTATGTGAGTTTGCATAAATTATTTTTTAGAGAGTAAAAACACTTATATTTTTTATAAAGCAAACGCATTTCTGGCTAGTATACTTCAGGACGAATGGATAGGGATTGAGCCAAGATCTTGTGCGAGCAAATACAATTTTTTGCAGTACTTGTTAGTTACGCGGGTTTTGTTAATTTAAACGACGATATAAATTGTTTAATTAGTTAATTATTCCCAATGGTTTTTACCCTCCATTCCCGGCCGCGCAGTCCGCATGAAGTACGGAACCTTTTTTTTGCCGAGTCTTAGAAACAGGAGGTAGCTAAGTGTCGAGATCTAAAACTATTCAGCTACAGAATCAAATTCATCACCTGATATTCAGTTATTGAGAGTGGAAATGATAGTTTTCTTTATAGAAAAAATCGAGTCCGATATGTTAAACGTGCTTGAATGAGAGCTAAAATCTTGACATAAACCTCGGAGTGATTCGCTTAGTTCAAAATTAGTTTTGCATGGCTTCAAAAATAGAGGTCGAAAGTGTCTTGACACTCGAGAGGGAACATTAAAATTTGCCTTAGCCAGAAGGGTCCGGCTATTAGTCAAGCCTGTCATTAATTTTACGATAAATATTGTACCTAGCATTTCTCTACGGCTTGCGAGTGTAGGCACATTTATGAGGTTTAGACGACTAGTGTAAGGGGGGAGTTTGTAGTCTGAATCCCAGTTAAAATCACGCAATGCAAAAAGCAATAATTGTTTTTGAGTTGACTCAATCCTATCTGAATGTACTTGGTGCCGGGGATTCCAAACAATAGATCCGTATTCTAGTATAGGTCTAACTAAAGTGATAAAAAGAGCTTTTGTATCATTAGGATCTTTGAACTCCTTTGACCATTGCTTTACAAATGAAAAAACTCCATTGGCTTTTTTGACTGTTGTAGTATGCGACGAGGCACTCTGTAATGACAATATCTGAAGCAACCCTAAAAGGAAACAGGACGTTTGACAGGTTCGCACGTGCATTAGACGAGACTAGGCGACCAAAGAATAAAAAGCGCAATTTTCACACTGCATATTTCTCGTGTTTTATTATATTTAATCTTCAGTTGAAAACGTAACATTTTGGCAACGAGAGTAAAATACGGCGTTGAATGACGCACAATCTTTCGTTAAAGTTGAACCGTTCCAACCAACCATGGCATGGAATAACTATAAAGAACGAATGGACTGTTACTTCAAAGCCAATGGAATAGCTAACGATACGTCGATGAGGGCGATTTTCTTGTCATGCATCGTTCCGTTCCCTATTGACGCCGTTGACACCAAAAGACGCTTCGTTTCATGAAATCGTTGAAAAACTGGACAAACTATTTCATCCAAAACCAAATTAGCTTATGCAGCGGTTGGTGTTCCATAAGCGGCACCAGAATAGTGGGGCGACAATAGCTATATTCGTAAAAGACTTGCGTAAACTGCCGGAACATTGTGGCTTCATGGAACTCGATAATATGTTGCGGGATCAAATTGTATGCGGAGTGGCAGATGAAGCGCTGCAAAACGTCTTTTTAGCGAACCAAGATTAGACTTTAAACGGGCGTATGAAATGAAATGAAAAAGAAATCGCCCATGAAGCGGCTTAACGCAGTGTAAGGGACGTGTGCGGCAATGGTAATGACGATTTGGCGGTGTCAATGAAGAAGAAACCAGGAAAGTAGAAAATTTTCAGTCTTTCCGTTGTGAGGGCAAACATTTTGTAAACAAGTGTCATTCTAAAGATAAGAAATGCGAATTTTGTCAGATAAAAGAAAACTCTCTGAAAGCGTTTTTCAAAAAGAGAGCACATGACCGCCCGAAACTGGCAGTCGACGCATTAGATGGAGAGACGGAGGATACAGGGCCAGCGGCAGGAGAAAATAATTACATTTATGAACTCAATACAGTTCAAGCCACGTCCACAAAAAAGATTTTAACGGGGATGTACCTCAACGGTGTGTTAGACTCATTTGAAGTAGACTCCGGTGCGGCGTTTACGGTTATGTCGGAGACAACGTGGAACCACATAAACCTGGGTAATCGCGACCTCAGGCCATCCAACATCATGCTGCAGACGTGGTCGAAGGAAAAACTCAATGTTTTGGGATCAGCTCGGGTAAATGTCGAATACAATAAGCAAAAGTACGTATTATCCCTTTTGGTCATTGCAGGTGGCGGCAGGTGTTTGCTGGGTAGAGAAGGGAACGGTGTCGATGGCGGCTGGGAGCAGTTTACAGGCATTTCTGCGTCTCAAGAGTCGTGCCCCTTTTCTTCATGTGGCAACAACGGCTCAGTAGGGGCTACCACGCGGCGTTTAATTTGGTCGACATGTCGTCGCCCGATTCGCTTATTAGTAGATTGTTCTATATACGATAATGGTCCAGTGACTTCTTTAACTTTCCTGCTAGCCGCAACGGGCCCACAGCGTAATTAGGGAAATACATGGGATATCCATCATCGAACAGTCTTACCGGACAAGAGGCTACATACGGGAGCAGTTCCAACTTGTGATCATCAGGGTGCAGCAGATCCAGCAACGTTCGAATTCGACGTCCGAGATTGGTTTGATGCGTTAGGGATTACGGTGCACGGAGTATTGACAGTAGATGTTCCAACGGTTTTCACCATGTTAGAGAAGAAATATAACTCAGTGTTTACCGAACATTTGGGTGCGCATAGAGGCCCTGCCATATCGTTTTAAATCGTACCAGGAGCTCAGCCGATTTTCCGTAAATACAGGACGTGTCCTATTGCTTGGAAATCAGCCGTAGAAAAAGAAATTGAAAAGTTAGTGGCGCAGAAAGTGTTGGAGCCAACTCTTTTTTCACACTGGGCAACGCCAATTGTACCGGTCATTAAAAAAGATGGTACTATGAGGATTTGTGGGGACAATCGCAGTACTGTAAACGCCGTGATTAAGCCAATAACATATCCTTTACCACTTTTTTCTGAGGTAAAGGCGGAAATCTCTGGCGAGAAATTGCTTACGAAATTGGACCTGCAGCAGGCCTACCAGCAGCTAGTCTTAGATGACTTTGCGGCAGAATTGTTGACACTTAACACGCACTTGGGATTGTTTAAAGTTCGGCGTTTACCATTTGGTATATCAGCAGCACCAGGACTTTTCCAAAAATACATGGATAATCTCCTAGCCGGAGTGAAAGGTGTCAAGGCATACCTCGACGATATTATTATTTCCGGAAAAGATGAGAATGAATATTTTCGTAGTTTAGAGGCAGTACTCGAGAAGCTAGAAGAAGCGAATTTAACTGCAAATAAGGCAAAATGCTCATTTTCTCAACTAAAAATTTCTTTGCTGGGATATAATATTAGCCATAAAGGAATTTCGCCAAATGAAGAAAAGGTAAGAGCAACAAAACAAGCACCGACGCCCAAAAATAAGGAAATGTTGCAATCCTTTTTGGGTCTCCTGAATTTTTATAACGTCTTCCTACCTAAGAAATCGAGCCTGGCAGAAAATCTTCACCGCCTATTGGATAAGGACGCTAAATGGTCTTGGACTAAGGAGCACCAATGAAATTTCGAAAAACTAAAGGCGCTTATAAATTCGGATTCCCTATTAGTACATTATGACGTAACGAAACCGTTAGTTCTGTCATGTGATGTTTCACCCTATGGTTTAGGGGCGGTTTTAGCCCATCGTTCGGAAGGAATGGAACGACAGATCGCCTTCGCTTCGCGGACTCTGGGAGTGCTTGAGCGAAACTACGTGCAGATAGACAGAGAAGCCCTGTCCATAATAAATGGGGTAAAACATTTCCACCAGTATATCATGGGCAAGGAGGTTATTATCGTTACGGACCATAAGCCGTTATTGCGCATTTTCAACAGAAAGAAACAAATTCCACAAATGCTTTCACCCCGAAT